CCCTATATAGTGCACTACTTTAGACCAGAGAATGGTACCCTATTCCCTATATAGTACACTACTTTAGACCAGAGAATGGTACCCTATTCCCTATATAGTACACTACGTTAGACCAGAGAATGGCACCCTATTCCCTATATAGTACACTACTTTAGACCAGAGAATGGCACCCTATTCCCTATGTAGTGCACTACTTTAGACCAGAGAATGGTACCCTATTCCCTATATAGTGCACTACTTTTGACAAAGTAGTGCACTTTGGGACACACCCATCATCTACCAGTTAAGAATATGAGTTTCATCATCATTTGAAACCAGTATTGTCACCCTCTAGAGACATGATACATTGTAGAGTAGCTTTTAATATCTTTAGAGACTTAGTGATGAGAGGGGACAGGTGGAAAGAGAGAGAGAGAAATAAAGAGAAAGAGAGAGGGAGAGATGGGAAGGATGAAGGGAGAGAGAGAGAGAGAATAGAGAGAGAGAGAGAGATAGAAGAAGAGAGAGAGAAGAAGAGACAAGAGACAGAGGAACATACAGAGAGAGAGACAGAGACAGAGAGACAGAGACAGAGAGACAGAGACAGAGAGAGAGATGTCTTTATTCTTTTGAAACTTCTGAGTGTAATGTTTACTGTTAATATTTATTGTTTATTTCACTTTTGTTTACTATCTACTTCACTTGCTTTGGCAATGTTAACACAACGTTTCCCATGCCAATAAAGCCCTTAAAATTGAATTGAATTGAATTGAGAGAGGAGAGAGAGAGAGAGGAGATATGAGAGAGAGGAATAGAGAGAGAGAGAGAGAGAGAGAGAGAGAGAGAGAGAGAAGAGAGAAAGCTAAAGATAGAGGAAGATACAGTTGAAGTTGGAAGTTTACATACACTTAGGTTGGAGTCATTAAAACTTGTTTAGAGAGAGAGAGAGGGAGAACAAGAGAGAGAGAGAGAGAGAGAGAGAGAGAGAGAGCATGAGAGAGAGAGAGAGAGAGAGATGAGGAGAGAGAGAGAGGATAGAGCAGAGAGAGAGAGAGAAGAGAGAGAGAAAGCTAAGATAGGGAAGATACAGTTGAAGTTGGAAGTTTACATACACTTAGGTTGGAGTCATTAAAACTTGTTTAGAGAGAGAGAGGGAGAACAAGAGAAGAGAGAGAGAGAGAGAGGATAAGAGAGAGAGCGAGAGCGCTGCTGCTATCGATCGTCTTTTCATCGTCTCCCGAGCGCTCTTGATAGGAGACTGATCAATAGAGAAAGAAAAGAAGCTATATTTAGACAGACTGCCAGTTCCTCTGTCCTGTCAACAGAGTAAATCATCCTCCAGAGGACAAGGCTCTACAGAAATATATGTCCATATGTTTAAATATATACAGTTAGAGTCGGAAGTTTACATACACTTAGGTCATTAAAACTAGTTTTTCAACCACTCCACACATACTATAGTTTTGGCAAGTCGGTTAGGACATCTACTTTGTGCACGACACAAGTAATTTTTCCAACAATTGTTTACAGACAGATTATATCACTTATAATTCACTGTATTACAATTCCAGTGGGTCAGAAGTTTACATACACTAAGTTGACTGTGCCTTTAAACACCTTGGAAAATTCCAGGCAATGATATCATGGCTTTAGAAGCTTCTGATAGGCTAATTGACATAATTTGAGTCAATTGGAGGTGTACCTGTGGATGTATTTCAAGGCCTACCTTCATACTCAGTGCCTCTTTGCTTGACGTCATGGGAAAATCAAAAGAAATCAGCCAAGACCTCAGAAGATTTTTTGTAGACCTCCACAAGTCTGGTTCATCCTTGGGAGCAATTTCCAAACGCCTGAATGTACCACGTTCATCTGTACAAACAATAGTACGCAAGTATAAACACCATGGGACCACGCAGCTGTCATACCGCTCAGGAAGGAAACACGTTCTGTCTCCCAGAGATTAACGTACTTTGGTGCGAAAAGTGAAAATTAATCCCAGAACAACAGCAAAGGACCTTGTGAAGATGCTGGAGGAAACAGGTACAAAAGTATCTATATCCACAGTAAAACGAGTCCTATATCGACATAACCTGAAAGGCCGCTCAGCAAGGAAGAAGCCACTGCTCCAAAACCACCATAAAAAAGCCAGACTATACGGTTTGCAAACTGCACATGGGGACAAAGATCGTACTTTTTGGAGAAATGGTCCTCTGGTCTGATGAAACAAAAATAGAACTGTTTGGCCATAATGACCATCGTTATGTTTGGAGGAAAAAGGGGGTTGCTTGCAGGCCGAAGAACACCATCCCAACCGTGAAGCACGGGGGTGGCAGCATCGTGCTGTGGGGGTGCTTTGCTGCAGGAGGGATTGGTGCACTTCACAAAATAGATGGCATCATGAGGAAGGAAAATTATGTGGATATATTGAAGCAACATCTCAAGACATCAGTCAGGAAGTTAAAGCTTGGTCGCAAAATGGGTCTTCCAAATGGACAATGACCCCAAAGCATACTTCCAAAGTTGTGGCAAAATGGCTTAAGGACAACAAAGTCAAGGTATTGGAGTGGTCATCACAAAGCCCTGACCTCAATCCTATAGTAAATTTGTGGGCAGAACTGAAAAAGCATGTGCAAGCAAGGAGGCCTACAAACCTGACTCAGTTACACCAGCTCTGTCAGGAGGAATGGGCCAAAATTCACCCAACTTATTGTGGGAAGCTTGGGGAAGGCTACCCGAAACGTTTGACCCAAGTTAAACAATTTAATGGCAATGCTACCAAATACTAATTGAGTGTATGTAAACTTCTGACCCACTGGGAATGTGATGAAAGAAATAAATGCTGAAATAAATCATTCTCTCTACTATTATTCTGACATTTCACATTCTTAAAAAAAACTGACCTAAGACAGATCATTTTTACTAGGATTAAATGTCAGGAATTGTGAAAAAAAATGAGTTTAAATGTATTTGGCTAAGGTGTATGTAAACATCCGACTTCAACTGTACATATCTACTCATAGATGTGGTTCTGAGAATGCTTGTGACCTTCCATAAATATAAAACTGTTTCCAATTGGTGCAACACATCACATTGACAACATTATCTACTACTACTGGCACATAGCTCTGACACGCATGCATACAACATGACAACATTATCTACTACTACTGGCACATAGCTCTGACACGCATGCATACAACATGATCGGTATTGTTATGTCCTCCTCTCCTCTGCTATTATGGACTCAAGGTAAGTATTGAATCAAGGTAACTAGACCCAGTATCATTATGTACTCAGAGTATTGAATCAAGGTAACTAGACCCAGTATCATTATGTACTCAGAGTATTGAATCAAGGTAACTAGACCCAGTATCATTATGTACTCAGAGTATTGAATCAAGGTAACTAGACCCAGTATCATTATGTACTCAGAGTATTGAATCAAGGTAACTAGACCCAGTATCATTATGTACTCAGAGTATTGAATCAAGGTAACTAGACCCAGTATCATTATGTACTCAGAGTATTGAATCAAGGTAACTAGACCCAATATCATTATGTACTCAGAGTATTGAATCAAGGTAACTAGACCCAGTATCATTATGTACTCAGAGTATTGAATCAAGGTAACTAGACCCAGTATCATTATGTACTCAGAGTATTGAATCAGGAACTAGACCCAGTATCATATGTACCGATATTGAATCAGGTAACTAGACCAGTATCATTATGTACTCAGAGTATTGAATCAAGGTAACTAGACCCAGTATCATTATGTACTCAGAGTATTGAATCAAGGTAACTAGACCCAGTATCATTATGTACTCAGAGTATTGAATCAAGGTAACTAGACCCAGTATCATTATGTACTCAGAGTATTGAATCAAGGTAACTAGACCCAGTATCATTATGTACTCAATATTGAATCAAGGTAACTAGACCCGTTATTTGTACTCAGAGTATGAATCATAACTGACCCATATCATATGTACTCAAGTATTGAATCAAGGTACTAGACCCAGTATCATATGTACCAGAGTATTGAATCAAGGGAACTAGACCCAGTATCATTATGTACTCAGAGTATTGAATCAGGAACTAGACCCATCATTTTATCAAGTATTTATCAAAGGGAAATACCCCAGTATCTTTTGTAACTCAAAA